AAAACTCAGTCAAAACAACAGATCCTCTCTTGGTCAAAAAAATTCATGCCATTAAATTTACGTATGCCTCTCAGTTAAGTTCCCTCAACTCTGCCACATCACAGGCTTCTGGAACATTCAGAATATTAAGTGGAACAATAAATCGCCTACCGTATTTTCTCGAATAATAGCCGGGGGCGATTATTGATTTTTTCGCACAAAAATTGAGCGATTATTCGAGTAAAGCGATTATTTCAAATATTGTTCATTGGAATTCGTGCCCTTAATATTTTGTTTTAATTTATTTTCCCATTAAATCAAAAAATAATCACGTCAAATACACTGAGCATGGGCTTTTTAAGAGTTCCAAATTTAGTTCCTTGATTAATTTTTAGAGCTTGAGGCGTCACTGATCAGTTTTGCTGAATCTCATTGTACTAAAATTGACAGGGAGGGGATAAAAGGAAGAAAAGATGGCCAGAGGGGCGATTATTCGAGGGAGGCGATTATTTTAAGTATTTCCGTCAAAAAGGGGGAGGGGGGTAATCGAGGGGCGGCTATTATTTGAGGAAATACGGTATTTCGTGTTTTCGAGGATCATGCTAGGACATTTTACACGTATGTAACATTCGCTACTTCCCATCGGGCATGAAAAAAAATACTAGTACGCAAATTTCAAGAAAGCATAATTTACACAAGTGGTCTCATTGAAGCCAAGTGTAAAAAGGATGCAAACTAAAGGAGCAAAATAGGGAAAAGTGTAAGACAAGGATATGGACTGGATAGGGCTTTAATCAGACGATCCACAGCTCCTCTCATACTTGTTCCCTCTTTTATTTGTTTATATGTACCATTATATCGGGTGTATTTAAATCTATGTTAATGCTGCACACAGTTAATCAGATTTGAGATTAAGCCGATGAAATGTATAGTCTATGTTCTCGAGCTCTGTATCAAACAAGTCGACATAATTCTTCTTCTAGACAGTTTTGCTGACCTCTCTGCTCGTCGCATGCAGCTTGAACTGACAAAAAATAGAAAAATATGTGCAAAAAATTAAATAAATCAAGGAGGTTTGCAGTTGTTTTCTAGGATAGTATCTGCAAGATTTCATTAATATTAATAACAGAGACAAAAATAGAGAAGGTTATATAGCTACAGAGAGCTGGGAACTGATATTAAGAGGTTGTTGAAACGAAATATGCAACAATGCGATATAAATCCAGCGTTCCAATGGTAGTTTGAATTCTTTGTGTTCGATTTAAAGGATGCAATCGGTCCTCCTTTGCAGATAATCTTTACTGTCCAATTTGGACGAAGCTCAGTATGCGAAAAACATCTTCGAAAGCTCATTTTTATTGCTAAACACCAAGCAGAACAGCTCCATTCATATTAATTGCAACACAGGTTAGTACAGCTTCGTTCTCGTCTATCAATACAGGAAAATCTAAGAGGAAGTTACAATCAGCGACGTACTGAATTGTTCTCATCATTATAAACACGATGTTTCCAATGAGTTTACATGAAAAGGGACAGTCATTGAAATTTACCACCTTAGGAAGTATTCAAATCAGTCATACAAAAAAAATTTACGACTTGGTCAATAAGTACATTATAGTTGCCCTGAAAAGTTGCTTTAATGGCCGCAAACTAGAAACCAGAATGAAAAAGATACTCTGGATACCTTTTTTCCACGTTCCTTCTCGGTGTCTTTTGAGTGTCTTCGACTGAACAAATCGCCAAATATATAATAATCGCCCGTTTTCATAGTCGTTTTAAGAATTTGTTGATGAAATCTACATCTTCGGGGTTTGCAAATAACATATACTTGGGAATATTTTCAAAACATTATTATAATACCTCTATGACTGCTAACTTTCGAATTCTCTTTAAACTCCACATAGACTTTGGCAGTGAGTCTTGTATGGACTTCTTTAATTTGTGACTCATCCAGTCAAATACGTTTTGCAGTTACATTTTATTTGAACTTAAATTTGGAACATTGGCAAATCTTGTTTAGACAACGTAGGGCGAGTCGGCGAGTACGTTATTTTACAGACCTTAAATCTTTAGCTATGTATAAAAGAGACACACCATTTGCTCTAACACTGAGAGATTGACGACTCAAATTAAAGCCTCTTGTATAATTTGCTTACACCTATCATAGAATTGAAGGCGATATTGAACTGTAATTTGGCTTACATTTATATAATATTTTATCCCTCAATTTTTCGTTCCACATGTCGCTCTGTATAGCAAATCTTGTTTAGTTAGGGTGCTGCAAGATTTTCGGTGATATCTTAGATATCTTTAAGTAGGTTTAGTTGTTTATTTTGGAACTGGTAATAACGTTGGCATTTGACATTTCAGCGTAACACTGCAGGCACGAACATTCTTACTAGGGACACTGTTCTATTTTTACAACCATTTCAACACGGTCGTCCGAGCCACGCGAAGGTCTAGCTGTTCCAAGGCAAACGCGGTACCTTTCTTTCTTTAACCCTGAGTATCAGCGTATTGGTCCGGTCCAGGGAGTAGAACCCGTAACCTCACGCTGTGCGGACCAGCACTCTACCCGACTGAGCTAGTCCTGCCGCGGTGAAAGATGCCTTAATGGTTTAAGGCGTTAAACACTATAGAGTTTCAATATAGTGCATCTTAATCGTGAAAAGGAAAGGTCTCTTTAACCTTTCAAGAGTCCCGTTCAAGCTCAGTGATATTAGAGTTTTACATCAGTTTGACAGCAACAATATCATCAAAGGTAGGAATTTTAAAGCGATTATTATTATGAGAAAAAGAAAAACAGATCTAAATAAGCAACCTGTTGAGAAAACAAAATATTTGCATTGTAAAGCCGTGCTACTGCTTCAATACTATTTAGAGAATTTTAGCGATTAATATTACTGCGTCCCGCATGTCTTTGGTGCCTAGATTTCTGAGCGACCAATATGTACGAAATATATATTATGATATCATGAAGAAAAGAAAGAAAAAGAGACGGTTTACCAGCGGGAGAATAATCATTTTAATCTTTACCTAGTCTATTTAAAAACTTTCTTAAATAATTTGGTCTTTTGATTTCAATTAACCTCAGTTGAGTCTTATCGGAAACAAACTTAAGGTCAAAACGTACATCTTGACATTGTTAGGAAGAATCAATTGCTGGAAAAGATTTTAAAACACGCGACGACGTGTTTTGATCGGCATGATATTGGATAATAAATATTGTTTTGTTTTGAATTGAATCACTTAAATAAATTATTTCTATACTCACTTCATACCATGATTAAAAAGTGCGCAGGTCGGTATGCTAGAAGAGTACGCTAATAGAACTCTATACCTTGTGTGTTTTATTTTCCCAATGTAGACCTTCTTTAGGAAAGTAAAACCTACAAGCTAAAGAGGTCTATTGGAGGTTTGGTTTGCTGAGCTTATCGGTGATTTCACTCGGAAGCTGGAATAGAAACATGTCTTAATTTAACTCAACGTGCTAATAACGCTTGCAGTGATTTAAGTACCACTCTTTCCATCCAGTGTTTAGTGGACATCATCACAGGAATGACAGTTAAAAGGGCGGGGGTTACAAATGTAAGTTGTCAGTTAAAATTTTGGCCTTTTGTCAATTGTCAGCTAAATGATTATTAATAATTGACTATGAAACTTATTTGTTCATTTTTGATCCGAAATTTAGCCAAAAAGTAGTGTTCTTACCTAGATTTTCTACTCTGGGGTCCACAGGACCCACATAGAAGCTGAAAGGGGGTCACGAGGGAGAAAAGCAGGTCACAGTGTATGAGTACATCCCTCAAGATGGCGGAGCTTTAGAACGCATCATTTCACACGTCAGCATGCGCAGAAGTCGTCATTTTATGGACGCCGCTGATTGGGTGTTTGGTCGCCATCACCAATTAATGTTTACGTACATTTTTTTATTTGGGCGTCGCCCAAATAGTGTAATCAAGATCGCTCGTTTTGATTCAAAGTTGCAATTGGAACGCAATAGGTGCGAACGTAAACAAGCCAAGTAAACAAGCCAAGTGACGCTAATATCTGCCACGCGAACGACTCGTACAAGGTAAAAAGCATGCCGGAAAGAAAGCTCCCGCAGCGTTTTGTTTTTTTTGTTGTTGTTGTTTTTTTGCACTGTTTTCCCTCTTTGCTCCCTTCGGACCGCTGTGGCTTATTATAGTGCGCAGTCTCTGAATGCCTGCAATGCCGCGCTCTGGTAAGAAAACTGTAAAAAGGAATATACAACGTAAATTGAACATTTTAAAACGAGAACTGATGCAATAGTACCTTAATTTTTATCGGTTTTGCAACTGAAAGCATTACAAGTGGCTTTCCATTTCTCAAGTCTTCTGTTACTCTCGTCCACACAAACGTTTTTGCTGGCCAGAGTCCAACATTTCCAACCATTAAGCCAATCAAAATTTAGACCTTCAGAATATTGGGACGCAGATCATGTGGAAGACGAAGAAAGACCGAATCTGAATCATCTCGGTAAAAATTTACAATTGCTTTTATAACGCCTTCATCAGCAGCCAACATGTATGCTGGTGCGTTCTCAGAGGAGCGTAAATTTGAGATCATAGGCCATTTCCAATGGATGATCCATGACACATGATAGGCTTTACGGTAGATCATTAAGGAAATTTGCCACTTAATCGTCCTGCTGCTAAGAGTATCCATATAAGCGTATATTTGATCACATTATCTGACGAAAAGAGTGGAACAATACTACCAAAAGGCCTTAAAAATCGGGTTTGTAGACAATCAGGTCCTTTGTCAGTTGACAGTAAAACCTAAGGTAAATGTCAGTTGTCGATTAAATCTAAGGCGATTTGTCAGTTGTCAGTTAAAATTTTGGCCATTTGCCAGTTGTCAGTTAACCCCATCCACACCCTCAGTAAAGTCATTGAGACTCAATTTGCAACGCAGAGTGTTGAATAACGACGAAAATGCTTTATTTGTTGTTCATTCATTAAACAAGCTGCAATATCGTATGCCAATTATTGAGCAACAAATATTGAAAGATGTTGGACTAGGTATCGTAAACAAATGCCAAATTAAAATATGACATTGTATTCGCCTATTGACCCGCCTTGCGAGTAGAGTTTCTTTCTGTCTTCTTGTGTGAGAGGGTAAAAAAGAGGCTCTGCCTGAATCGCGTTAAAGCTTTGAGGTCGCTGCAGCCTAAACTTCTGGACATGTCAATCCTGTTCTCTCTCGTCAAACTGGCTTTGCGAGCAACCGTTGTTCATAACCAAGCCCGCTGTAGCAAGCGCACAGCTGTTAGGCCTGGGCTGGAAACTATATCCTAGTAACATGCCGCGCATGCGCAACAAAGATCTTAGTCGATTCATGCAGAGTCCTTCTCGAGAAAGCCAAAAGAAAGGTTCTGCTGGTAGGGTGCTATTGACCGTTCTCTGAGCTTTCAAAGTCCATCCGAGGCCACTTCTCCTTGCAATCAATTTCAGGTTGAGGGGAATGACGTCACTTATAAAGCCAGGTTGCTAAGCATGACTCACAAGAATCCTGGCCTGCATAAGGGAGGAGTCTGGATAGGACCCTTTTTTTTGTTGTTGTTTTTTTTTCTTCTTCTTTTCTTCGCCTTTTTTCCTTTTTTTCAAAATCGTTCAATTATTCATTAGGATCGGAGTCGTAATTTTAATAAATGGTTGAGAGGTTTTTGTAGCCTGTACACAGACGTTGTTTTATTTTTATTTTTATTTTTCTTTTGCGAAGAGCGCGAGAAAGAAAAATAAAGAACCATTTTAAATTTCTTCTTTCCCACCTCTACCCCCTTGCGCTGGTGTTCAATAAATCCCCTGCGGTTTATATTTTATCACCCGTGCTTGACGGACTTTGAGGAGAAAATAGAAAGTCTGTTAACAGGCTAGAGGTTTTGAATGTTTTTCATGAATGAATATTAGGGGGATGTTTTACACTTTCACTGAATGTTGATTACAATCCGTAGGTGTAGCATCTCAGTAACTCACAATGGATGTGTCAGACATACTCGTGCAAGAGCTCGTGGTAGATGGCGTTGGTCAACCAAATTACAGCTTACAAGTGCAGCTTTTTGAAGCTACAAGAAAAGGTGATCTTGCGAAAGTCAGAAGCCTATGTGGTCAGCTAAAATGTGCACTGGACTGTGTTGACAGTTCTGGAAAAACCCCTTTACAGCTTGCTGCTGACCTGGAAAACGAGACTGTTCGAAAAGAAATAATCGAAGAATTACTGAGTAGCGGAGCTGACTTGGAGCTCGCTTTACTACACGCAGTTCGCGATAATGATGCAGAAATGGTGGAAGTTCTTCTTCAATTTCGTAAGCCAGCACTCCACTCAACACCAAAACGATACGTAAACCCACTAATTTTGGCGGCCTGTTTGCAGAATTTTCGAATCATTACGCTGCTGCTGGAGAATGGTTTCACTATTGGTGATACAAAAAGTGTCCAATTGTTCTCCGGTTGTAATGAAGGGTACAACGAAAAGCTTGAGCCAGCTGTGAACCGTTTGAATGAATACCGCGCCCTTGCCAGCCCAGTGTTTATCTCGGCGTCCTTTCTCCACGACGTGCAGAGTGGTCACGATCCAGTCTATCGCGCATGCGTCCTGAACAGAGAGCTGCGTGAAACAGCTGAGCAAGAATACGAATTTAAAAATGAGTATTTTGAGCTCAGTGATGGCTGTAAAGAGTTTTCCGTGGCTCTTCTGAAAGAGTGCCATTCCATGGAGGAAATAAGATGCGTGATGGAGATGCACGACATATCGGATAAGGTGCTGCATGTAAATGGAAGCTTAAACATTCTGAAGTTTGCTATCGCCACTGGAAATGACAAAGTACTGTGGGTTTTATAACATTTTTTTATTCTTACTACTTTACAAACAAAAGTCAGTTTGGGTTACGATATATTTTTACCCGGCCTATCGTTATAACTGATCCGTCCAAGGGAAGGGCAAAAATGAAACAGTCGGTTTGAAACCTTACCGGTATTTGCGTTTGCCATCAACGTAACTAAGGGCAGTGTTTGTTGCTACTTGGTCAATCCCGCTACCATAAATTCCGCAACATTTTAATTTGCCTTTTAAAGACTGTTTGCATTTTCAAAAAGTTTTATTAAAGTTTCCATGGAATTCACCCTTTAAGTAGTACTTCTTTCACTTCTACACATTATTTTCCACGGTAATAACTTTAAATATTTTTAATTTGTTTACTTCCTAGTTTGTCAGCCATCCCTTCAGCCAGCTGATATTAAACACGGAGGTCTACAGAAATGCTTCCTTCATGGAGAAAAGCGCCTGGAAGCAAGCAGTGCTTATACTACTGGCGGTTCTGTCATACCCATTACTATTCGTGGTCTGGTTTCTTTTTGAGATCTGTTTTCCAAGTCATCATGTGGCCAGAATGTTTCATTCTCCATGTGTGAAATTTCTCATTTATTGCGGCTCCTATCAAACTTTTCTTTTCCTGTTAGCCTTTGCATCTTTCCATTTTCAGAGTGGGTTTCTAGACTACAACATAACAGGTAAATGAAGTGGAGGAAAACCAAGAGATTCGATCACAAAAATATATATGTATATATGATACATGACTGTCACATTAAAAACCCATAACCCATTGTAGTGAAACTGTTGGTATTTCTCCCGCTAACGTCACCTATTGATATGAAGCAACGAGAAGTGCATTGGTTCTAGAAACAAAAGATTCTTTTGTTTCACTTGTTCCAAATTTGAATAACAAAACAATGTTTGTAAACAGCGATGTCTCCCGTTTGCGCTTCGTTTCAGCTCAGTATCGAAAACATTTATTTCACACATACTGAGAGATGACTACTCACTGTAAAACCACGTCGCAGTGGCGGATCCAGACCTTCAGATGCGGGGTGGAGGGAGGGGGGGGGGCGGGCATACAGACCCTGAAATAAGGGGGGCGGGGAGGTGTCAAAAAAAAAACCTTTTTTGGCCCTTCGAGCCCCAGTTTGGTCTAAAGATAAGGGGGAGCCTGGCCCCTTCCCTGGATCCGCCACCGCGTCGTAAAATTTGGTACGCAAATTAGTTCTAGCCAATGAGAGGAGCATACGTTTTTCTCCTGTGAGAAGCTCCTCCAATCGACAGAAACCACACCGGTGCCATACTAGGGCTGATTCGAAATGATTCCCAGCATTTGCTGGATTGGGCTTTAGATGGGGCTGTTTTGGCTTAAAATATTTTTTATTATTATTTTTCAGTGTATACTCCAACCCGTATTATAATTTTAAGCATTAGTTTTTGAAAGTTTCCGTAGTCTTTCTTGTCACTTCACGATGTTTAGAGGCAAATATTTTATCCCTCGCTAAGTTTTTTAAATCACTTTTAAAGATTGGATTGTCCTCGTTTATGTCATTGGCCACCTAATAGACATCATCAAAGACGTTTATCAACAAGGCAGAACTCATTTCTTTTCTTCCCACTGGAACTATCTGGCTGTAGCTTCAGTGACGACATTTGTTCTCCACTACGCCATTTGGTGGACAAGCCGATCAATTCTTACAGGTGATCCACAATCAATGAAATGGGAAAGCCATGCTCATGATCGCGGGTACGCAACCATGCTCGTCTCGTATTGCGTTTTCTCTGTTGCAATCCTATTGGCTTTTGCACAAAACCTGTCATTTATTCAAGCTAACTCCAACACTGGTCCACTACTACAAGCTTTCATACGGATGCTTATAGACGCGGCCAAGTTCTTCCTGTATTTTATTTTCGTCTTTGTAGCATTTGCTGTTAGCTTCGCGAAGCTGTATTTGCAGTATGACAAAGCAAGACAGCATTTTCATTTGAACAAATCAGGAACAAATCAAAGCGATCCTCTTCATCTAGAAAGGTGCGTAAAACTGACAGTGGTCATATAGGCTTCCGTTTTATTCATATAATTCTCTACGCAGTCATCGATGTAAATTTAACTGATGAACCGCGGCAGGAAGGAGGGGGGGAAGCATCCGTCTCCTACTGTTAGGAAGCGACCCCCTTGTAAGAGAGGGACCAGGAATCTACATCTCATTTAGGAAAAGACTTTTATTCATCAAACTTCAACTGCTGGTGCTTAGTTAACTTCTCGCGCGATACTCTCAGGCATTGACAAAGTTAAGTTGAAGGTTGCATTAATGTCTACGCGCATTCCAGTGGTCAAAGCATGCAGGCGGATTCTAAAAGACCACAGCTGCTCTCTCTAACTCTGAGGCCAACCGACCGCCTTACAAAAAATTCGACCAATCAAAAAACGTTAGAACTGGTAAGAATGAATGAATAATGTGGACCTTTGATAAAGCGATTTGGTTATAGATTCTACCTATTACGTGCAATTGTTAGGTGCTATTGTTATGATGATGATTTTAAACTCCATTTTCTTTTTGTAGATTTGGAAACAGCATTGGTACTATCTTTTGGACGCTGTTTGGTCTCATTGACGAAAACAGTTTCAAAATAGACGTGGATGGTTATGGCGCTGTATGGAGAACAGGCATGACGTTGTTCGGTGCATTCAATATCATTGTGGTTCTGGTGGCCCTCAACATGCTGATCGCGATACTAAATGAGTCATACACCAGAATAACGGTAAGCCAGACCTATACCCTGTGTAAACAAAGTTTTACTTTTTACTTTTAACTGGTAATTAAGTACGGGCAGGAAGCTTAGGTTGGCCCCTCGTAGGTCCTCTCTAAAGGGGATGCTGTAACACCTTTTTTTATAATCGAGGAGGGTTTTTTTTTTTCAAACTCCAGGGAACATTTCAGTTTTTCTTCAAAGCCAATGTTTGGGTTCTTCCAGAGAAATATCTATCCCTTCATTGACTTTAAGATTCCAAAACCACTCGTGGTTACAGAAATCTTTCAAGGAATACCACAAAATAATACCAAGCTTAGATCTAATACTTACGATACAATTGAACTTTCGACCATGAAACTATTCCGATATGTTAAGCCACAAGGAGTTATAAGGGCTCATCAAAAGATATTAAGACTACCTTCAAGGTTGACCCCGACCTTGAAATTTTTCATGCAGGAAAACTTGGATACCGAGTGGAAGTTCACGAGGACAAAAATATGGCTCAGTTGGATTTACAAGAAAGGTGTTCTTCCACCGCCATTTAATATCCTATACGTGCTGCTTCCAGTCCACTGGTTAATAAAGCATCTTTTAGCAGCATGTTTGCCTGTACACTTTGTAAGTAACAGTTTATGTATGTATCGAGATATTTAAATGGGATACATTGTTTAGGGCTCTTTCTAGGAAATCATTTCCAAAGCCAGTAAAAAATAAATGGTAAATACAGCAGGTAGTAAATTGTTGAGGTGATATATATCATATAAGTGAAATAAATAAATTTAAAATTCCCTAAAAGAATAAAGATAGCAGAAAATAAGTGTGCCTCAAGTACATATTATCAAAAAAGGTCATCAGTATATACACAGTCAGTGATCTGGTTTCAAAAACTCTGGTTGAAAGTTTTAAACAAGGCAAAGAACGATACAGGAAAACAATGCAGCTCACCTCCATCGCATTCGCCACTGTCAGCACTTGCGAGGAGCGACGCACACACAAAGAAAAACATTTTTTACCGAATTGTCGAGTTGACAAAGGCAAATAAAGGTCTACCCTTTTTCAATTGAGGTAAACGAAAGGAGTAAAGCTATAATTCGACATGTTTGAAAATTCTGTAAAGATAAAATTGTGCGCAAGCATGCATGCGCATGTACTGTTTACGGCTACTTGTACGTTTTTTACGCATGAATTGACCCGTCAATCAAAAAAATCGTTTTTGATGGTTTTCGTTGTGATTCCGTTGAGATCACCTCTTGTGTATGTACTAAAATAACTACATTTTTAGTGTCGGTGAATATGGGCCAAGGAAATATTTACCTTGCTGCTTTGCGGCCACTAGTGCCAATACTCACGTTGATTTCAAAGAATAATTGTTAAATATAGAGAGACTGATTATCTCTTTTTCTCTTCCTCTAGTCCTCTTTAACACGGACGAAAGGAAAACCCTACGGAACAATCCGGAAAAACAAAAGGATCGATGTGAAGAAGGTATGTTGGCTTTGAAACAAAAATTGTCATTTGTACCCGCGGAGCACTTAGAAGTTCATATGAACTCGTTGAAACGTATCTGTGCGTTCCAGATCGAATTGGAATTTGAAAGTGTTGGTTTTAAGGAGAGGGGGAAACCGGAGTACCCGGGGAAAAACCTCTTGAAGCAAGGGAGAGAACCAACAACAAACTCAGCCCCCATATGGCGTCGACGCCAGGATTCGAACTTGGGCCACATTGGTGAGAGGCGGGTGCTCTCATCACTTCGCCACCCTTTCTCTTAAAAAACCAAGTTTAATGAGGATGATGTTCATTGGGCCCGTGACACAGGAGACTCGGGAAAAAAAATCCGAGTTCTCTCAACAGGAGTCAAATCAATTATTTTCTGGCTGCTACAATCCTGGGCAAAATTCCTTGGGACAGTAATGCAGTATTCATAATTTTCTGTACTTTCTGCTTGCCCTCATAAATAAAGACAGTGCCTCCTTTTCACAATTTTCTTGCAACTTTTGTTTCATCCACCCTGCACAAAGTTGATCCTCGAAAAATTTCTGCATACACACGTACGCCCATACATGTTTTTTTGGGTGGGAGAAGGGATCGTGTAAATTGAAAAAAGCCCCAGGAATGCACAAGTGTTCCAAAACTTCTGTCCATGATTTTACCGCTTCAGATGTTCCGAAGCTGAGCCACAGCAGATTCAGCCAGGGCACAGTTAAAGCCATTGACAGACACCCTGCATATACTGGAAGGACTAGAATCAAAATGTTTCGATTCAGAGTGAAATAAATATAACAAAATGGCAATCTTAATATGTGGGTGAAACGTATGACTCAGAAAATTAGAGTGCTCCAAAAAGCTCCGATAAATCACCTGTTGCTCAGTGGTAGAGCTCCTGGACTAATAAGCAGAATTTCAAAGGTTCGACTTCTCTTGGCTAAACTTTTTTCGAGTCGTATTCTATTGAGTAATATATTAACCAAGCTTACAATACACTATAACATGTATACTACGCAAACAAGTTATGTGTTTACTGCACCGATGTTACTTTAAAAATTATCGACAGCACCAAAAAATCGTCAGACACCAAAAATAATGAAAACAGGGGCATCCTCAAACACAATAGAAAAGTCAAATTCGTTTGTTGGTCATATGAAATGGTAGACGACGAACTTAATATTATGCTATGTTTTTTTTTTATTATTTATTTATTTATTTATTTATTTATTTATTTATTATTTTTTGTGTTTGCATTTTTAAAGAGAAGAGAGATGATTCGCCACCTTGTCCTAAGGTACCTTGCAAGAAGATCGAGCGATGCAGAGACCAGGAACCAATCTAACACCTCTGAGGAAAAACAAAAGACGGGGGAGGCAACTAACAATCAAAAATTGGATAGCAGTCAATCAGACATAACTGAGGCCAACTGGGAATCGAATCTGTAAAAGAGTTGATACTGTCCTCCTTCTCCCACCACACGCCTTTTCCTTCGGTCTCAATAAACACGGCTGTTCCGTTGCCCTGGGAGAGGGAGGGGCCGAATCTTATTAGGGAGTTTTAGCAACGACGACTTCGACGGCAACGAGAACGAGAAGGTCAAAACAGCAATATGTTTATTAAGAAAAACAAGTTTGCGCGTGCATCACGTTTTTTTGTACATTTCTTTACCGTTTTTTCACGACTGCGACGAAGAACGTAAACAGGCGACCACGAAATTTTCTTTCTCTTTCTAAGCTTGAGTGTGGTCCTCAAGAAATCAACTCAAGGGAAATCGCCTACATTAGACATTTTCAGCGAACTGGAATAAACGCGATGAGGTTTGAAAAACGCTAATTCATTTTAAAAGTGACGTTTTCGCTGCCGTAGCCGTCGTCGATGCTAACTCCCTGTTTAAAACGGGAAGGAAACGCCCGTCAGAAAATTAGAACTCAGCCGTAAGAGGAGTCCATTCTGGGCGTAGTTCAGGCCTTGTATGTTACCCAAAATAGGCTTAACTTAAACAGAGATGCAGATAAGAACTACAGCGAGTTAATTGCCCTTATTTTGGCCTCGAATGCTGCCTTCAAAAGTGAAAGTATGACAACGTTTGTTTTTTCTTCCCTTGTAATTTTTTAACACAAAACCCCAGACCATAGCTGAATAGGTAAAAAAAAACATTGTTTTCCTAACTAAACATCCTACGTTGTAAGTTAAACCAAACGCTGCAATTTACACCCCTCGACGAGACGAGGAGCATTTTCGTACCTTTATTTCATAGGATTTTCTCCCTGGCCTTATGAGGAGGTCATGGGGTCACCCTCCCCTGATAAATCCAGTGTTGTAAATTTTTTACTCCGTCAGAAGAAGAGAAATTGGGGTTAAATTAACTCTGCTCATTCGCGTTTGTTTCCCATGACAGGAGTAGCTGACTTCTAAGTAAAAACTCTTCCTGAAAGATAGGTTCAGAGACAACAATAAACGTTGAGAGCTTGATACTAATACACACAAATCAGCATATTTAATAAATGCACAAACATTATGCTATTTTATTGCTAAAATAATAAACAAAATTGTTCAATAAATAATAAATCCTACATCTTCCAGTTATTACAATGAATCTACAACAGAGCTATCACAATCGTCTAAAAATGAAGCAATGAAATTTATTTACAAGTTAAGACTTGACATTGCTTCAGTTGGCAAGTCAAGAAGAGCGAAGAAATAACTTAGTAAATGACTGTTAAATATCCTTATGCTATATTCAAATTTGCACTGAATTTGTAAAAGCTGTTAGAAGGCTGGGCAATTAAGACCCTGTTTACATGGAGTGGGGGACCCCGGTCTAGTGGGGTAGGTTTCTTTTGTTTTGTGTCCCTCAGAGCGTGAAAACAAAAGAAACCAACCCCACTAGACCGGGGTCCCCCACTCCATGTAAACAGGCCCTAAATATAGGTGGTTTTCACGTTACGTCATCGCCGCCATGCTGGCGGATGGTCAACAAAAGATCGCTCATTAGCACCCTTTGTTTGTCCACAAGCATTTGTTCATTTCACCATAATGATTGCTATTTTTGTCTCCCGAGATAATGCATGAAAACCACCTATACCTTCACCATCTTCAATTTTACCCGTTCTTAACTTTCCAATTTTTGACCTAGTTTGTTTCGCTTCTGATCTCTATTAAATAAAGAAGTTATTGTATATCCTATAGAGCAGAAAGCGCGTGTTTCGGCGGCTATATGCACTGTCACTATCACGCACACGTACAGTAACACTCCAAAAGTGGCTCAAAGCCCTGATCGTCTTTGTTTCTCATTGCACATCAAGTAGAAAATACTCTATTCTATTTTATGATTAATCTATAGGGCAATGACTTCTACTTCATATAGAGCTTTGGAGCTAGCGCGCTGTAAAATGTGACTTCCACCCTGGGCTCGGGAAACCCATGGCCACCTCTTCTTTGGCAAGTTAATCAACCACTTGTTGCTTCAATTCCGATCAAGAGCAGTTCTCAGCCTGCCATTACTACGATTATCAGTTGAGTAACACGCGGCGGAAGTTTTATAATCAGGTTTTAATGTTCAAATTGTGGTGTTGTCACAGGCAACTGGTTCTTTTTCCAGTGGCAACTTGTCGATTAGTTTGAGGTCATAAGCAGCAAAGCGCGCGAAATTGCCAGAAACACTATTTTCTCTACCATTTGCTTTTACCTGTGACAAACAGAGTATCAAGTGAAAGTGGAGTACTCTGGCACGCAAGGAGACGGTCAGAAGTGGATGAGTTTTATGGTTTCGGCTTCTAAAATAAACTGTGGTCAGTATTCATTTAGATCACTGGTTAATGATATCAATTGTCGGTGTCCGAGCCTTCACTTTTTAAATGGGAGCATAATGCGTATTCGTTACTTGGATGAAGAGGATAGTTGGATCAATCTAAATTTTGACAAACGTAGGGGTTTCACAAAGTTATGGCATTGTGCAAGAGTCAGGTTCCTAAAAGGGAGTTCAAGAGAGTTAAAATACGTGCAGGAGTTCTAGGTTCCCCTGTCCAAGCTGCTGCTTAAAGTGTTATAAATTTGAATTACAGTTTCTTTGGATATAAAGGGCCGCACACGTTTTAGGGCGCCTATAGCTGAAGAGACTTTCTTGCAAATCTCTTAAACGTGTTTACCCCAAGAGAGTTGAGCATCTATGGTAAGACCCAAGGATTTGGTATGATCGACTCTCTTGATAATTTGGCCGGGTAATTTGGTCATCAATTCTGATTTCTACATCGTCACATTGGGCAGATAGTCTTTGCCTTGATCCAATACTCATTAGCTCTGTTTTAGCAACATTTAGACTGAGCTTGTTAGCTTTCAGCCAACAGCTAAGGTTATTTAATTCAGGGGTTAGAGCTAGCCTCAGCTCTGTTAACGTCTGAGCAGATAACCTAAGATTGGTGTCATCGGCAAATATTCTTGGTACGGCGCCCCGCAGGGAGTTGGGAAGACCATTAATGTAAATTAAAAATAGCAAAGGACCCAGTATCCTTCCCCGCGGCACGCCTCAACTGAGGGTACGAGCAGATGAAAGTTTGCCACTGACATTACTTCTTTGGGTTCGGCCACTTCAGTACGACGAGAATCACTTTATAGCTGATAGACACCTAAGTATGACATGTTACGCAAGAAGATCTCATGATCAATGGAGTAGAGAACGCTTAATTTTCGGATGAGTAAAAACAAACTCAGAAAATGACTTAATTTAAGCTCTCACGATTTCAAATAACTCCCGTAAAAGGGATGTTACACACTAACTGTTCTAAGAGAGTTAATTGAACTCCTTTTGGAGTAACTCCTCAAGATGAGCACAAACAACTACACTTTGTAGAGTTAAAGTAACTCCATCCGACGGAGTAAAACAGCTCTCGTAATAGAGTTTAATCAACCCCAGTAAACATGATAACCTCTAAAACAGAGTTATTTTAACTCCCTTGGGCGAGTTGATTTTTATGCACTTAAATTTTACTCCTTTATGGAGTAACTTTTAAATCTTTTTGCGAGTTAATTTAATTCTTACAAAGTTAACTCCAAAACGGAGTAAAATTTACTCCACTGAAACTCTATTTAACTCCTTTTGGGAGTTAAAGTAACTCCCAAAAACATAACTCCACTGTAACGAGTTAAATTAACCCCACTAGAGGAGTAATTATAACTCCTTGAAAATTACTGTACACACAAACAGGGTGGGCAAACGGACGCAACATGTGGTCGAGAACTCCTAACATTGTTGGATGTTAACAATGTTTTGTCTGTTTGCACGGGGCTTAAGTAACCTGCCAGTAAGGAAAGCACTAGATAACATCGATCTAAACCAGATGAGTCATCGATATGTCAGCGGCGTCTTACAAAATGACTGAAATGATCCCTTCGACTTCCGTTCACTTGATCGATCGCAGCGAGGATGTTATATCTGAGTTAGTTTGAGTTATAAAACGGTCAATATTGTCGTTTCCAGTTTATATTACTAAAAAAGGTTAAATCTGTAATATCAGCTGTATTGTATTGAACGTGCGGGTTGTGGTCTTTCGAACGCTGGCTTCGGTCGATGTTATTTAGTGTCAACACGTCACGAAATCCTATCTAACATCGACCGAAATCTAACAGGAACTCGGCTGAGGCTCCGAAAAAACCTTAATTAAATAAATCTCGCGAGAGTAAGAATTCCATCTTAGTTTTATTGCTGTCATTAGAATCTTAAACAGTAGTTTTCCAGCTTTCCGACTTCCACTCATAAAGAAAAGTCCTACTTCCACAGTCACATGCAAACATTGGCGCCAAATCTAAAGTTTTCCATCTGAGAATACTCTGTCAGGGTCGGCCAGGGTTTTTGGGTATACGGTATACAGGGGCTTTTTAAATCGGGTATACGGTATATTGCAGCTTAAATACGGGTATTCGGTATATCACTTTCTTTGAATTTCAAGTATAAAGTATACCTGGGTATAATTTTGGGTATATTCAGATGAATTTTGGGTATTTTTGGGTATTNCTAGATAACATCGATCTAAACCAGATGAGTCATCGATATGTCAGCGGCGTCTTACAAAATGACTGAAATGATCCCTTCGACTTCCGTTCACTTGATCGATCGCAGCGAGGATGTTATATCTGAGTTAGTTTGAGTTATAAAACGGTCAATATTGTCGTTTCCAGTTTATATTACTAAAAAAGGTTAAATCTGTAATATCAGCTGTATTGTATTGAACGTGCGGGTTGTGGTCTTTCGAACGCTGGCTTCGGTCGATGTTATTTAGTGTCAACACGTCACGAAATCCTATCTAACATCGACCGAAATCTAACAGGAACTCGGCTGAGGCTCCGAAAAAACCTTAATTAAATAAATCTCGCGAGAGTAAGAATTCCATCTTAGTTTTATTGCTGTCATTAGAATCTCAAACAGTAGTTTTCCAGCTTTCCGACTTCC